ATAAACCATTCATCCCCTTTGTATGTTTCCATACATGTCAATTTTGTGCAAACCATTGGGTGTAATATGAATACCATTTTATTACTGAGTGTACCAAAATTCAACTCAACAAGGGATACATTCTTTAACAAAATTGCCTTCTGTTATCCCACATTTCATACATTGAGCAAAACCCAAAAATTCCATATGATATTGCTCACTGGGTTGGGTCATACCTTTATCAACTGTACAATTCCGAAAATGCTTTGTTGTGTAAATTGTATTTGTTTGTTTTACCCAGTAATGGTTGTGGTCAGTAAACTACTCAACAGAGGTACCATAATGTGCCCCTGCCACAGGAAGCACCATAATGTGCCCCTGCCACAGGAAGCACCATAATGTGCCCCTGCCACAGGAAGCACCATAATGTGCCCCTGCCACAGGAAGCACCATAATGTGCCCCTGCCACAGGAAGCACCATAATGTGCCCCTGCCACAGGAAGCACCATAATGTGCCCCTGCCACAGGAGGGTCCAAATATGACTCTGGCAACAGAAGATAATAAAGTGGCCTTGGCAACAGGAGATAACTATAATGTTGCCCTGGTAACAGGAAATAACTATATTGTAACCCTGGCAACAGCAGACAAGCATAATGTGGCCAGGACAACAAGGGATAATCATATATAATATAGCCCTGGCAACAGGGGATACTATGCTCTGACCACAGGAATTACCATGGGTGTGGAGGAAGCATAACAAGCCATGCATGGCACAGTCCCCGTTAGTTATCAAATTTAAGATATATAGTTTTGTTTATAGTAATATAGCTGTCAGGATTTTTTAACATTAAAATGATTGACATTTGTATCTGATCGTCAAAACAAGTACTTGTCCATATTGAGAGATATTGCTCTTGAATAGCATTCAAAATCAGCCATTTTGAATACATGTATATATATAACATGATGTACAATGAATATGTAAAATTTGAATATAATCAGTCGAAGCATTTAAGGTAGCGGGACTATTATTTGCTTACTTGTTTTCATCTTCTAATTGTGACCAAATGACTACAAATAGACCCAGGAAAGTATATATTTTAGAACCGCCAGACTTCAAGCTTTGCAAAGGTGTGTTTGCCATGCCCGTATCTGCATTCTATGACCCGTTACTTAATCAAAGGTGAAAACTTACTTTTTCTGTAAAAAAAATAATTACGCATTTATGCTGGCAATAAGAAGTATTTTTTTCACTTTTTCTAGTTGTTCAATAGTCTGGTAAATTGAATGTGTCTGGTCAGTTTTATGCAAGCAACGAGTTTTAAAAAATAGTGTGCTGAATTTCAATTACTGTTTTAGTCGCATTGCTCCCAACTCAAACCACAACTCG